GGCCCACTGACTGTCAGATTAACAGGGTTCCACTACATATGAAGACATGATTGATCATCGCAGTTATATATGCAACTTAAGCAGTTGTGAAATTAAAGCCTGGAAAAAAAAAAAACAGTCTTGAGCAGGATTCAAACTCATGACCTCTACAATACTGGTGCAGTGCTCTACCAATTGACTGAGCTATCAAGCCAACTGGGAGCTGGAAACATGACCCACTCCCAGTTGGCTATTTCTTAGGTTAAACTGTACTTCCTCCATTTTCTCAGGATAGTGCACAGTAAAGCAGTTAGAGGGTTTAAAGAGGTTTTTAAAAATGTCAGATAAACGTTTTGTTGGACTGACTGTCATTTCATCATTGGCTTTCTCCTTCATGCCACAAAATGGCACTGTATACATGTAGCAGTACTCATGAGGTTTCCAAAATCAATTAGGTTTTACTGGGATGGAAGACTAGCCCATTACTCACCCTCCAGGCTTGAGCTGGGAAGACTAGGACCTTTGCCCCTTTAGTCTTGTGAATTCCCTTACAGTTTGGGCTCTGATATCCATAATAAATAATCACTGATTTCATTCAACTTCACAGCTAATCACTCACAGTTTGCCCTAATCTTAGTAATTTTCCACTCATGTTGCTTTGTCACATAATACTCTTGTTCCCGGTTGCGAACACCCCTAAGTCAATCCGTCAAACTCCTGTAGGCCAGACCCCCAGGGACTGAAGTCCCAACCAGCAAAGCTCTCACAGTCAATGACACATGCAGTCTTCGATACCACTACAAGTTTAAAAAACTGTTTCTTTATTTTGTCATTCTTACAGCCTTCCCCCAGATTTTCATTTAGGGTTTGATGTCGTGTTTGTTGATCCATCTGGCTACCTTAACTTGTGTGCTGGAATGAGGGTGGCTCAATACAGGAAAGTAAGTGAACTGTGTTGTATTAACCATTACCGTGCCCAAATTTGCAATTAGCCAATCAGAAGCCATGTCTACTGTCCTTAGGATATAAGAATCTTCAGTTGTCACATTTGTCAAGACTTGCGACATAATGACACAGAAAAGATGTCATTCTGCCATCATCAAGGATTGTACTTTTCATGATTATTTCTCTGATTAATTCTCAGCTGCAGCATGAGGTCAGGTTGTCGCTGGAATTTTTGGACAGTAGTTTTATGGACAGCTTTGAAGTGCTCTTCATGAAGCCAGTGCCATTTATACAAACATTTGATCAATTTTTACAGTGAGTACAAGCATGTCAATGTTGTTGATTGTTGATTTAGCTGACATTGAATTTTAATTTCACATACAACTTTAAATGTTCAAGACTGAGTTTAAAGAACCCTGACATTCACTGATGGGACAGAGAAATTACCAACAAGTCAACCGCCATCAAAACATGATAGATTTTATTGCTAAATGTACATGTAGGCAATACAGGAAATTTAAAAGAATAAATTGTTTTCAATTTTCTGTACNAACCAAAAAGTTTAAAGAAATGTAGGAAGCTTAATTGAAATTAAGGGGTGGGAGGTCTTGGAAAAAAATCCCTTAACTGTGGGGGGACGTATGGATATTTTTTTGAAGTACGCAATCTGAGGGTTCCATGGACAGAACTTGAGGTCCAAGTTTGTGTTAACGATTCACCCATGCTCAAACACTTTTCTTGCAAACACTTCAAACACTTTCTCTGGTCTGCAGGAGAAATGATCTTCTCCGTCACCTTATTGATCATCCAGGAGACTGGACCCCAGTTGTCACTGATTGGCTGCTTCATCTTGTCACTAGAGGCCTGGGAAAGAGAGTAGAGATGCTTTACTTCAAACCACAAACTCTACTTCAGGTGAATTAAATTTAGGAGATCATCAGGGGAACTGCATTTGTCTTGATATTTTAGCCACTTCTTCCAACTAGTACTATAAGAAATGTCTGTGGCTGAGTAGAGAGAAGTTGTTGTTCACGATGGAGTTTAACTGAGGCGGTTGTTTGCATGCTATTAAATAAAGATTCTTTAGAAGTTCATATGTCACATTTTGGAAATCGTTTGGATGTCATTGGTACTTTTTGAGAAGTCTTTGTGTCAACTGGGATCTATTCATGCATTATAATTTTCAGCAATCTTTGCAGTAAATTTTCCTTGCATTCAACAATTAGTGCTTAAATTATCTTGATACAAAGCAACATGGAAACTACAACATACATGTATTTGTTTTGAAATTTATTCATTCCATCATTCACTGTAATCTTCAATTGCCAGAATTTTTATAATAAATTTGCCGTAGATTTACAACAGTTAGTGCTGAAACTCTTGATATTAACAACAAAAATTATGAATTCATCAGAATTTTACCATTTGGTTAGTATTA